ACTGAACTGAGCTGTGAACGTCTGTATCTGATGAATCGGATCAATCAAGGTTTCATTTGAACTGTAATGTTAATAAAGTGGCATTGTGGGAAGAGTCTGGCTAGTTTAAATGAAGCTGTTCAGGAAAACCTTTTCCTGTCCGGTTTTCTGCTGCTCCTCAGTGACATACAGTGATAAAGCTGCCTTAGATGACTTATTTTGACTAAACCCATTCTTTGGTATTTTTGGAATGTGCTCCGGAGCACGCCGATGTAAACAGCCCCCACTCTGCAGCTGCTCCACTGAAGCATCAGGCGGCACTTCCTCCTGTTATTATTAAAAAGTTTGGGTGTACTTTTGTCAGTCAATTGCTTCTACTTTATCCCACTGCAGACTAATAAAGTCTCTACATCATGAAGTCGGATGGAATGCCTGCTTTAATGAAGGCAGAGGTGAAATATTCTGTGAAGTGAATGAGCCTGGTGCAGACGTACGTCCCGTCAGACGTAGAGCCCCCTCTGTAGGCATGGCGACGGCCTCAGACGGCCATCCCAACAATCTCCTGCTGAATCACTCAAAGGACACAAACATGCAGAGGAAACGGGCCATGAAACGGCCAACAGTACTTTGGTTTTAGTGAAGCTCTATAAACCCCCCTGTGAGCTGCAGAGGGAGGGGTCCGCGTGTTTATTTACCTGGAAGAAACGGCCTGTAGAGAGACTCTAGATCTGGATCTCCACCATATTAAGCAGCAGGAATCAGTCCCTGTTAGCAGCTCAGTGAAAGCGCTGATAGAAACATCCTCTCCTGCCATCCGTGTCTTCCTGCTCTTCAGCTTCTTAACTTTTCCAAACAGAAGCTGTAGAGGAGTCTCCTCAGTAATTTCTCATCCCAGCAGCTATACTGCATAATCTAACACCTGTTCTACTCTATCCTATCATGCTGGACACATCTAAAGTCCAGACCTGATCTCCATGACCTCCACCTCAGTGTATTCGCTGTTTACATGTTGGGATCAGGGTGGATGTTTGGGGGTCGCATGGAGCTAAAAACAAAATGACGCCTGAAAACAAATATTTAGGGGGTTAGATGAAGGCAACACAGAGAGACCAGCCAGCCGCCACACCGTCAGCTAGGTCAACGACCTGTAGATCTGGACCCAGACCAGCAACGGCGTAACTCTGGGTCTTCCATGGTGGGGGACATACTCGGACCTGAACTGGGCCGGCCTGGGATTGGCCCGCTAGCCTCTCTCTCTTTTTTATATTCTGCCGGTGAAGCGGCTGCACGCCTAGAGACACAGGCCAGGCCACTTAGGCCAGCAGCATGTGAGGAGGGAAAGATGATTGGTTTATTAACACCTGCCCTAACAGTCTGCATCAACCTCACAGGCAGCAGCATGTGGAGGAGGGGCAGTGTGACGTGTGTCTGGCTGCTGCTGTGGTGTTTAGCTAGCGAACGCTGCAGGTGAGGATGAGAAGCAGTGGAATCGGTCTACGAACGCAGTAAAAGGAAGAGGACAGGCGGCGCAGAGAGGCAGAGACAAAAACAGAAAGATGACATCACTGCTGCTGGTGCTTCAGGAGAAGCAGAGCATTCGGGAGAAGAAGCAACCTGCACCAAGTGACATGAACACCACCAAACACCATTAGGCAGAACTGGCTCTCAGGTGGAATACTGACCCTCAGGGATCTACAGCATTATTCTATGTTTCCTACCATGAGCTCCGAGTGGAACTCCACTCAGAGTGGAAAACAGCTGATCGTAACCAGGTCAAAAACAACAGAAACCATTAAAAGTCTGATATAGGGCTGATATGGGCTACAGTCTTTTTAAACAGACTTTCTTTCTAAATTTCTTCTCTAATACCATTTGGGGAAAATGTGTCTGCCTCCTTTTTAAGCTTCTTGTCGTGTTTTGCAGCCACTCTGTGTAAGAAAACAGGGTGTTCCTGGTAAACAGGTGCAGTTGAACGTTTTTGGCAGGAAGCGAGTTACATTACCCAACCACTAAACATGCAGCTACTTAAAATAAACCAGTTATCAATGCAAAATACTATCATTAATGTGTGATGATGTGATGGTAATGCATGTTTACTGAATCCTTTTCCAGGGGGGGGTCAGTCCACTAGCCTTCCTGCAGAAAAGCATCGGCTCAAAGTCCTTCCAGGTGCTGAAATAATGTCGCTACATAAAGCAGTTTCTGAATTTCCCTCTCTGCATTTAACCCCTCCCCTCGGGGAGCAGTGGGCTGCCACTGTGTGGCGCTCTGGGAGCAGTGTGGGGTTAAGGGTCTTGCTCAGGAACCCAGAGTGGAGGCTTTGGGGATCGAACCGGGTACTGTAACCTTCTCAGAGCGCTGCTCTAACCACTGGGCCATCACTCCTTCAGTTTAAATCAAATTATATTTTATTTATTAGATCTGGATGCGTTTAGACTGAACTCTGATGTCTAATCAGATGTAGGAAATAGTCTTTATGAAAAGTGTTAGCATGTAAAACGTCTCCAGCTGAAGATGATAATGGATTAAAAACTTAAAGCACTGAAGAGTTAAAGCATTAAAGCCTTTCTATTCACTGAATCATGGAGATCTCTGGGCATGTATGTAAACAAGGCGTGTAACATATTAACAGCTGGAGAGAAACAGAGCAAACAGACAAGTTCTTTCACTAAAGATGACTATATTCACCATGGGGGGGGGAGAACAGTTGGAGAAAAACCTGTCTGATGATGCTTATTGAAAAATATAAGATAAAATTATCTGAAGTGTTTAAGATGTCGTTGCTAAGACGATTCTCAGATTTAGAGTATTTGGACGACGTTGCTAAACCTAAGGGCCTTTCTCCCCGCCGTCGGCCATGTTTTAGGGGGGGGGTGGCCTGGTGGATAGGGCATAGAGCTTGGAATCCTGAGGTTAGGCTTAGTTCAGCTGTAATTAGTGTTGCTCTGATGCCATTTTCTGGCCCCCATACCTGGCTGTGCAGCATCGGCTGATACCATCTGATTGAAATGGATGTTTGTGTATCTATGAAGAACTGCATCCTGCTTGGATTTGAAATAATCACCATCATGGCTTCAAGCTGCTGTCTACCTTTGTGAAGCAGGAAACAGACTAAATTAAAGTGAATCCAGTAGAACTTTTCATTGCCACCTGGCCCTATTGGTTGGTACCAATGCCACCATTTTAGTGCTGGATCGGGGCCCCGCCCCATACTGGTATCAGTGCAACACTAGTTGTGAGATCAAGCCCCACTCCCACAGACTGCCACTCTGGGTCCCTGAGAAAGACCCTTAACCCCACACTCCTCCCTGGGCGCCGCACAATGGCAGCCCACTGCTCCCCGAGTTAAGCCCCCCCCCGCCAACCCAAAAGAAATAACGGTATGCAAGCTTTAATAAAGATGCAATAAAGAAGATAATTTACATTTTTTATCTAATTTTCATTGTAAAATTTCTACAAAGGAAAATGATCATATGTGATTATCATAATTCTTAATGAAATGTCTTTTTGTTTACGCTTGTGTATACAAATAACAAAATAAATCTAAGTGAAAAAGTTAAATATAATATAAAGCTTTACATTTACATCTAACACAAATAAAAACAAAAAGCTCAGCTGTATTTATGAACATATGAACAGAAAATAGGTTTAGGATTATGGAAATATATTCCTATAAGCTTTCCCTGTAACGTCATTAAAGGACAGATTATTTTTATGCCCTCAGAGCTTATTGTTCATTCCTGTAAACGTTTAATGACAATAAAGATGTATGTTTGGTGCAGCTGCTCCAGGCTGCTCGTCAGAATGATCTAGATTTATAGATGTCTTTGATTATACAATATGATAGGTTTATGGTATAATGAAATATTCTATAAAAGTCTATTCATATATTTAATATTTTCATGCTTTGTTTCGCTGTTTCCTGCTGAAAAATGAGGAACATAAATATAATTTATTTACTTCTCCATTTTCTTCTTATATTTGAAAAATAAAGCGAGACGAAACTTTTCTTCTCCCTTTGGGGCCCCCTCAGACAAAGGCCCTTAGAATCTTCTTATGGTGCCCCTGTGACAGTCTAATCACCATAAAACCTGGAGAAAATGAATTAAACTGGTGAGCATGGGCGGTTCTAGACAGGGGCCAATGGGGGCCAGTTATGGCCCCTGTACTGAAGACATAATACTCAAAGAAGTTCTAATAATGATCTGCGCTGGAACAGACATGGTTACTGATACTGTAGGTCCTTTGGATCTATTTCATTTTTATTTATTTATTATTATTTTTTTTTTTTTAATTCTCATTTTTTACTAATTAGTTTAAATAATAAGATGACAGCTTCAGTGAGATTGAGATAGATTCTCAGTTTTCTGCGAAATGTTTTTCTTGAGTTCTAATTCAGATTTTATAGAAAACGGTCATTTTAACTCAAATTAAGTCAAAAATATGTAAAACTCCTAATTTATGAATGTATATTTACCTAATAAGACAATAATAATATAATAATAACATAAACCTAATTGAATAGAAATGTCCCTTCATGCGGCTCTCTTAATATATTTGAATCTCTTGCCCTGTTTTTATTTCATGCTTTTCTGGGCCCCCATGATTCATGCTGGCCCCCTCCTGGCCCCCTGGTACATTTGGTCTAGGACCGCCGGTGAATGGGCTCTACCTTCTTAAAGCGCCTCTTAGCTAACTGAAGCTAGCCTGCCTGTAAACACATCCTGGGGGAAATATTACCATAAACCTTTAGCGTTTGTTTGGTGAGAAATGATGAACTGAAGCGTTAAACTTCTGGGTTAAAGCCGCACAGAGGACCACGTGCCGGCGGGCCTGTCGGAGCGGTTCCTCCACCTCACATAGGACGCTGATGTCGTCATGCACACTGCTGAAGTTTGGGGATCTTCTCGCGACATGTCCGTCCCTTAGGGCCAAACGGGAGGGCAGCGGCTGAAGTCTCGCGATGCTTGCAGCTGGGGAGCCCGCCCTTCTCCGGTGTCGTCCGCAGTGTGTATAATAACCGGCGGAGCGGCGCTGGGAGTCTAGGAGGAGCCGCGGCAAGGTCGACAGCAGCATCCCTCACAGCGAGCCCCGCAGCGGACCCGCCTGACGCCGAAAACTCGCTGGAACTTTTAGGACTTTCTTCCTCGGAGAAGAGAAGCCGGGCGGGGAAGGCAGCAGCCATCTGCCGCCTCTCTCAGCGGGGCTTTTACTGGCGCTAGCCGGGCGGTTGGGACGGTTCACCTCCATTACTCAGCAGCCGAGCCGCAGACATGTCGGAGCCACCCGCAGCCCCGCAGAGCGAGCTTCTAGCTCCGGAGGGCGAGCCAAGGCCGCTCGGTCCCACTCCCAGCCAGAGCCGCTTCCAGGTGGATCTGGTGTCCGAGGCGGCGGGCGCCTCCGAGGGGAAGGCTGAAAACCCGGGGGCCGGAGGAGAGGAGGCCAAGGGCCGCTTCAGAGTGGTGAACTTTGCGGATCCCAGCGGCTCTGGGAGCGGGGCCTCCCCGGAGGGAGGGCCGGCTGAGGGGTTACAGAACGGAGACACGGTGATGAGCGAGAGCAGCCTGCATTCCTCCACGGGGGGCCAGCATCACTACCACTATGACACCCACACCAACACCTACTACCTGCGGACCTTTGGACACAACACCATCGATGCTGTCCCAAAGATAGACTTCTACCGGCAGACCGCGGCGCCTCTGGGGGAGAAGCTGGTCAGACCCACCCTGTCGGAGCTCCACGACGAGCTGGACAAGGTAGGTGGTCCTCAGGGTCCGGATCTGCTGCTGGGACCGTCCCGAACCGGTTCCCTCTGAAAGACCCCAACACTAGGCTGAAGGGGAGGTGGGTCTGTAGACTGCTCTGAGGGAGGCTTTGGTCCTGGATCCCAGGCTGAAGGTGGAGCCCCCCAGGAAGCCCAGGCTCCTCTCCTCTGGTCCAGCTCGGTTCAAACGGCCCACTGAGGGGGTCTGCAGGTCTTCCTCACTGAGGGGGTCTGCAGGTCTTCCTCACTGAGGGGGTCTGCAGGTCTTCCTCACTGAGGGGGTCTGCAGGTCTTCCTC